GATGAGGAACCCAGGACTCACAGCTGAAATGAATTGCTCTAGAATAATGGGAGAATTGGATGGTGCTTTATATTTGTGCAGCTCTTTCAAATTTTCCTGGGTGATCTCCTTCATCTACTACTTACGGTGTACATCTTTTGAGAACACCAGTTGGCCGTATTGTTATTTTGATCTACTCTGTGCTTCAAATCCGCAAGACTATGTCTTAATCTTTTTCCATGAATCCTAGCTTACAATGCCATGGGAAAACAGGTCCAGCCAATAGCTAAGGCCAACAGGCCAAGAACCCAGTAGACCTTTGCTTTGGTAGATAGAGAAGGGGTAGTCCTGGAAAATCCAGCCGTGGAACAAGACTGGTGCCTCTAAGAGCATAGGGCCATCCAGAGTGGTAACTGATGAGAGCCAACTTCCAATGCTATCCTCTAAAAGCAAGAGACCTCCCAAGTAAGAGTCAGAGAATGTATTTGCAGGGCCCACCCCCTAATAAGTTCTTATCCAACTTGATACAGCTTTCCTTTCTCTTCATCTGATAGCCAAGACCTTGTCCTGTTCCCTTCCTGCACCTCTACCAGGCTCTCCTCGCAGAAATGAATTCAGATCTCACAATACTCAGGTGCACACTGTAGCTATTATAGTAAGTCCCAGGAAGGCTTCACTTCAAGATGATCTCTGAAGATGTCGAAGGAGTTGCGTGTGTGTGTGTTTAAAGTAAGCCTACACCTCACAATATAGACAACATACCCTTTGAGTAATAAACATGCTCTATACATTATTATTTGATCTCTTTTATGCCTGGAATCCCTCTTACCATCCTCTTTTGTGACTTCTATGTCTAGTATTTTAGTACTTTAGCATCTACATTTTTGGCTATACTTCTCTCCTTCAAAATGGTTCTCCTCCCCCTGTTGCCTTACCGGGGAGAATTTTCCTGTCCCTGGAACTTTCATAAACAACTTCTTTCCTTATAGAAACTGCCAGGAATCATCATCAGAATCACCATCATCATTTTAAGGGACTCAGGTTAAGGTCCTCCTAGGAGATGCAGAGCTCCTGCTGGGTTTCTGTATTTGTTCTGATAGAGGTTCCCACACCACAGGGGAGAATGGCAAGTAGCTGGCATCCCTTGGGACAGACCCAAATACAACGTGGAAACCAGAACTCCCGCTTTCTCAAGCACAGCCCCGGACTGCCTGCCAAGCAGTTCTGCCACCCATTCAGCTGTGAAACCACTTCTTGCCCGCGGGAGCTGGGAGCCTTGGCTCCTCCTCAGATATGAATGACTTCCTCTGTCTACTCTTAGCCAGAGGAGATTTCTCTTTGTCTCAGCTGCCTCTTACTATGATCAATTTTTCCTTTTTCTTTTTAATCCAAAAAAGCAAAAAAAAAAAACTCTACTTCTTCAGCATAACCCATTTGTTTTTATTTTCTGGACACCAAATCTTGAAAGAGACCATTTTTTCTCCTTTACTTTGGCCAGCAGAAACTCAGGTCAAAATTGAACACTCATCGGGGGCCTGGGTGGCTCAGTTGGTTAAGCAACTGCCTTCTGCTCAAGTCATGATCCCGGAATCCTGGGATCGAGTTCCACATCGGGCTCCCGGCTCAGCGGGGAGCCTGCTTCTCCCTCTGACCCTCTCCCCTCTCATGCTGTTTCTCTCTCTCTCGCTCTCTAATAAATAAATAAAATCTTAAAAAAAAATTGAACACTCATCTGCAGTAAACGTGAAGACCTTGAGGCCCAGATGTCCTATAATTCACGTGTTCCTTGCCTCTCTATCTTCATCTTCCTGTTCTACTTTTTTTCTCTTCTCCCCACTTTTGCTATGTAAATATTTGCATTCTCTAATAGCGTATAATAACTTATCTTACGTTCTTTTATTGAACAAGATAAAATATTTTTTAAAAATCTTCATATGAATGAATTAAACCATCTCACTCGTAATGTGCTGCATAGAGATGTATTTTCACAGTGAGGAGTTATTTGCAAAGATTGCAGAGTCACTGCCAGGAGGATATGGCTGGGGTGGTGGTGGAAACCCCACAGATGAGGGTCCCTTCCAAGTGGACCCTGGGGTCTCTTCTCACTGACCGCCTGTGTAATGTTAACTCACTTTGAAGACCTGAAATCAGAATACACTTCCATGAATTCTTGGTGACCTTGAAGAGGAGCAAGAAGCATCAAATCTTTCTGTACTTATTCAAAGAGTGTGTATGGAAATGCAGGTTCCACGGGATTGGACTTGACCCCTAATACTACATAATGTCCCAAAGTCATCATTCCAGACAGTTCCTTTTGGGGACATTCTAGAAACATCTAGAATACTGGGAGTTCCTTAATTGACCGCAGTTGATGTTAGAATCATGTTGCAAAATGTTTGACCGTATCAGCCAGCCAGCTGAAATGACCTTTTGAACAGATAGAATTCTGTAGCTGGCTGATATTTGAGTGTGTCTGTTACTAATTTTAAAGGCTTGACATATTTTCTGCCCAGGTAGTCTGACAGTAAAATCACATACAAGACAAAGTTTTAGGAAGGAGCTAAATCCATTCACATCTCTTGTGACACATTAATAGCGCAAAACAAGGAAAATCAAGAATATTTAACTTCCATTAAGGCATTTTATGTGAAAGTTGGGACTGCTGCTAAACAGTAGAATCATCTTCCTACCAGAAACGTCTCCGGGTCTGAATTGGAATTGTTCATTAAGCTGGATACAGATTCTTTCCAAGAGACCCAGGAGGGTTTGTGAATGTTGCCCAGTGGCAGGGATGGACTACACCAGTTCTAAGCTTTAATTTGGCAGAATCTACCTCATACAGAGCTTTGCTCAAAAATATCTTAAATAAAAATGTGCATAAAGGCACAGGAAGAAGAGAAAAATGACAGAAAGAATAGGGAAGATTCTTTTGGAAGAGAGAGGCATGCTATTTGCTTCCCAGTGCACGTGTGTGGGTGTGTATGTGTGTACACACAACACACACACACACACACACACACGTACGCACATGCCCAGACACTCACATGTCTCAAGATGGCAGAAGTCTAAGACGTATCTTGTCCAACCTTCTGCCCAACACATAATTCATTTCTATAATATTTTTACAGGCTGATAGAGAACATTTCTACTTCAACATTGCCAGTTACAGGAAGCTCACTATTTCACAAGGCAAATCCCTCAATATTCAGACAACTGGAATGGTTAAATTTTTTTTTTCATGACATTGAATGAAGAGCTTCTTCAGTTATTTCTTCAGTGACCCCAGCTCTCTTTGCTAGAGCTGCATACAACCTATTAACCCATCTTTCATAGGATAATCCTAAATAAGTATTTGAAGGCTGTTATAATCATGATAATGATGATGGTGGTAATTATCATCATCATTATCCATACCAGTAGTACATAACATTTCTTGAGTACTTCCTGTAAGTGATTTGCAAAGCATTTTATATGTTGATCTCATTAATCCTCAGGGCTCAAGGAAATAGATACATTTCAAAAATTCATTTTACAGATGAGAAGACTGAGGTTGGAGAGATTAAGCAGCTTGTCCTGGCTAACAGAGGTAGCAGGACGCAGAACTAGGATTGAAATTGGGCTGCCCCAGGCTCTTTTCTAGCTTCACATTAGTGGCCTATTCCATGGATGATGTGTGCAGGTGTTTTCTCCGGGGAGTATTATGAGGACTAAAATATCACCTTCTGATATTTTAGATATCATACTACATACTGTCTCACACAAAGCACTCTCCATTCCTCACATCTTTCGTATAGTAGTGTATTTTTAGGAATTCCTGTATCAGCATAAACACTGTCTGAAGCCCCGTGCACAGAAAACTGCAGCCCTGCGGTTTTCTTTTACTGGTCCAATGATTTTTCAAGTTGATCCTTTACAAACTGAGGTGTCTGAGTCACGAGGTAGAGAAATGCCTTCCACAGAGCACGGCACCCAGCATCAAACTGCGGCTCCATGAATATGTGCCAAATGAATGAATGGACCAATGGCCTCCTGAAAAAGATAGTTTAATGCCTAGAGCTGAGAGCAGTAGAAATTTTGCTGATTACCTAGTAAAACTATGTTTTCCCTATTCTTTTTTGTTAAGTTGGGATTGCAAATATATATCACATCTGTATTTCTCTGTTGGTTTGATCCCCTCATGCAATTACACTGTAATTTGTTTGAAAATAACTTTTTGGATTAATATCAATACTTTCTCATGTTTGCACTTCATGAAGTAGCCAATCTTGTTACCACTGAAATGTCAAATTATGAGAGTTTCTGACTTGCCAGGAAGTTGCACTTCTGGGAAATCTGGCTTCCTGTATAGGCCATGAGGGGTCCCTTGGGCTCTAAGTCTGTGTTTTCTAAACTCTTTTCCTCAGAAATTTTAAGAAACTTTCCTTTCTGGACAGATATTTTAATAATATCCTTGTTGTGCTTGTCCATTAACATGGTATTTTCCTACATCAGTAGAAAGGAAACAAAGCAATGCTGAAGTATTAACTGTAAAGATTCAGGGAATTGGTTAAGGGGAGAAGGAAACAATGCAGAATATACCTAAGCTCTGCCTCCTATAACTAAAATACCTGATTCTTAGAATACCATGTTCTTTGGTTAATTGTCATTATAGTAAATGAGACACAAAACACAAGTGTATTTTCCAGAGACAACTTGTGACATTCTTCTCACTGTCATACATTATATGGTTTAGACCAGATATCCCTAATTTTTAGAGAGCCAGAACCTCAGAGATATTTATCTGTCCCTGACTTAGGAAGAAGTTGCTAAGTTATTAGTCATCACCTGGTATGGAGATGCTTTATATCTGCTCTTCAGATGCAACTAATGGGGGTCCAGTGTGATTTATGCAAGTCCAGCCCTTTAAGAAGTCTATTTTTTTTTCTTAGAAGAAGAAGAAGAAGAAGAAGAAGCAGCAGCAGCAGCAACCAAAGTCTATTTTTCATCCTGCTAATGGTGTTTGGTTTTATGTTGCCTCTCCTAGGTTTGCTGGGATGGGAAACCTGCTCAAAGTCCTTACCAGGGAAATTGAAAACTATCCACATTTTTTCCTGGATTTTGAAAGTAAGTTCCAAAAATTAAAAGATGATGATGGGAACTTTTTTGCTTTCTTTATAGCTTGTTGATAGAGAAGCTATAACATAAAGATTTTTTTTTTAATTTTATTATGTGATACTTAAACCCACATGTCACTATGCATTTCTTTCTGAGTCTTCAAAGATTATTTCATTTCTTTTTTTTCTATTATTTTTTTAAAAAATCTAATAGAAAATCTTTTTAATGTGTCCATGGTTTTCTTTGATTTTAGAAACACTTTCATCAGCTAGCATCAATCATCATCATGTATTTTTCTTAATAAATTTTATGAAACACTATATCATATTCTAAAGAAAAATAGCACATGTAGTAACTTACATAGATTAATATAAAACAAATATCACTAGACATGAAAAAAATTATCAAAACTATAAAATAGGCTTATAGATTATTTTTGAGTCATCTCTGTTGTTTCTGTTATTTGATTATATAAAACTATGTAAAACTTTTGGGAATTACCCCTTTTATCTGAAGGTTATGTTTCTTTTATCAAAAATTTAATTTTTTTTCCCTAAGGTAAAATGGCTTGTGAATTATGACTGAAAAAATATTGGGTTTTTTTTTCTTGTCTTGTTTATTTTCTTGATTGAATATATTTTCTGATGAGTGACACATCTGCAAATTTATCAACTAAGCTCATATTTCCACCTTCCTATTATGTTCCCCTTTTCCTAAATTACAATTCCACAAAAGCAAGCACATTAAATGTACTTTTTCCCCAGTATTTACCATTTGTTGCAAACTTTAACCTGTATTAAACTTTAATTTTTCAAGTGTTTATGTATATTAAAAAATAAGTCAGAATTTCCCTACATATAGATTAAACTTGCTAACAGAGATTTTCTAGGTAAAGGCTAGAAGTCCCTTCAAAGATACAGTAAAGCAAAAGGTGACTGCTCCCTAAATATGTCTTTTCAGAGTCTTCGGTAGGTCTCAGGTAGTTGCATGAAAAGGAAGAGTAACCCCGAAGCTCATGTGTTCTAAAAATAATATTGAAGATTCTAGATTATATTCAGTGAAGGAGATTCCACTTTGACTTAACTCATTTTGCTGCTGCTGTTTGGATGGATTTGGTTGGGTAGGTTTGGGTTGGATTTGGCTGGGTTTGGTAAGTGGCGTAGGTGGGATCAATACCAGCTTGATATGACACATCAAAAGAAATGGTTTTTTTTTTTCCTGGTGTAACTTTTACAACTCCAATACACATATCTTTGTTGTTGTTGCTCTTGTTGTTAAAATGAAGATTTATTAATAACTTTTACGAATTTTACAAGATAAACGACCTAATATCCCATCCCCCTAATCTTACTAGTTGCATGTTTAGTTGATTCCTTCCACTTCTTGTCATGTGCATGTTACACTGTTGCATCCAGCATGTACAAAGTCCAAAACAGTGGTGAAGGTAAAATACTCCATTCACTCAAAACTTGTGTGTGTGTTGGGGGAGCATATAAACACCTAGGGGAGTTAAATGCCTGCACTTAATTTTGAAGCTCTAAATTCCACATGCACCTGCACATCCTGCTCATAAATGCCTACCAGGTTCAGTGGCCCCCATTTGTCCATTTAGCTGTTCTTGCATTCTTGGTTTTCCATGCTTTTACAAAAAGTAGTATTGAGTTCTTTGTCAAGACTAATTTGAAAAGCCTTCCAAGTGAGAAAATTACAATCTGCAGGGATTTAAAGCAGTGGTTTTCAACTGCTGTTCTCTGGAGTACCAGGCTTCTGGGGTTATGCCTCAGGGGGTCCCCGGCCCGCTGCTGCAGAAGGACTGTCGCTCTTCCTCTCTCCTAAGACCCAGCACTCAAGTCTGCTCAATCTTGTACTTTGGATAATTTCTTAATTTTTTTTTATTTTTAAAAAGGTCATGGTGGCTAAAAAGAACATTTAAATATCTTGAATTTTGATGATGGTTTATGGTACCAAAAACTCCATTTGTAGATATGCTATAGTATCTTCAACAAGGTTCCTTGTGGACTAGATTCTCATGCCTTGGGACTCATTAGGACTAGAGCGGTAATATATAAGGAAAACATAAAACTATAAATTTACCCAAAAAATATGTGAACTGTTTATTTCCCCGCCAACCCCAAGGAGAAGGTTAACATTATTTCACTGAGACTCTGAAACGATAAATAGCTGGGCTAACATCACATAGGGAATGAGTGAGGACCTGAGATGGAGCACAGATCTCTGGCTCTCCTCCTCAAGAGCCCATCACAAGCAGCTCTGAGGAGTGTGACAGCCATCATCCTATTTCTGACTAGAGAGCATCTTTGTTATCTACGAACTAAGACATCTCATGGAAAAAATGTTTTTTTCTTGATCCTGAAAAATCCTCTTTCCTAAAGGTGGTTTTCAAAAAAGAATGGTGATGGACCAGAGGGTAGCAAAGGTAGACTGTGGCCATGATTTCTCTGTGAGTCTGTAGATTTCAGCTCAGCACAATAGCGGTATGTGCAATATGGTTATGAACATCCACGTAAGCCAGGCAACATCAGGGAGACAGAGCTAAACAAGCACAGTCATTGGAGTCTCAGACTGGTGTGCAGGGTAATATAGGCACATTTTTCGAGACAAGATAAAAATAAGGGGCTTAAGACCACACTGTGGTCTGGGAGTAAAGAGGAAAAAAGAGCATGCATCTAGTTTCAGGAAATGGAAGACAACAGAAGGAATTGGAGAGGTCTTCTAGCCAAAGGTGGCCTTTAGAGTGGGCTTTAAAGAATGGGTGATTTTTCTATAAGCATATAGGGAGAGGAGTTTTCCAACAGTGGAAATAGGGATAGGAATAGGAAGGGCGTGTTTGAGGACTAGCAAGAGCCCCAATTTAGACAGAGCATCACGTGCTTGCTGAAAGGAAATGTGGGCAGAAATGGAAGGCTGGTTTGAGTTAGACCACAGCGGTTGGAGAAGCTCAGGGCTAGCGGTCCACAATTGCAGTTTGCCTTCAAAAAGAATAGCTGAACTCTCTGAGGGAAAACTCAAGAGCAGACAAAAGCTTGGCATTTGGGAACCTTAGGTACGCTCATGCTTAACGGGAGGTTGATGAGTCAGAGGATCAGGAAAAGAGACTACATTGTAGAGGAAAGAGAACATCTTACTAAACCGAGACTCCTGATGGCAGGGCCTGGGCGCCACTCAGGTTTGCAACCCAGCACTTCGCCCCATGTTGAGCATGGAGCACGGATCACCAAACGAGCTTTAGTAACAGATACTGGCCATGTGAAGGAATGGAATAGAACAGGCTGGATGGAGGCAGTCAGGAGAGCACAGGCAGTAAAGAAGGAGGGACTGTAAATGGATTCACATGCTGCAGAACGCTCCAGAGGGATAAGGCTCAGGAGGGGATTGGCGGGGTGGGCTGTGAGCTGCCCAACTACTGTAGCCACTGGCAGAACAGGTTCAAGACGTATTGCTTTGCATATAGATTCTGGACTGCGAAGAGTTAAGGAGAAAGCAACGGAGGGAGGAAGGAAGGCCAAACAGCATGTAGCAACAGCTTAAATGAATTTGGCACCTCTACTTTGAGTGTTGAATATTCTTTTTGAAGTCGGTGATGGCATATAATTGAACTGGGTCAAATAGATATAATTAAGCTGGGTCAAAATATACGACAAAATTAGATACATCTGTCCTAAGGCTTTCCAGTTGTGTAGATTTAACTTAAATTCTTGTCTGACCTTTGCAGGGAGTTCTACAGTCTGTGCTCACATTTTTACACAACAATTTAACATCTTTTTTATTGTTGGGTTTTTCTTTTTTACCACACTACTTTGTTTTTTCTTTTTCTGTCTCTATCTCCTTGTCATATCTCCATTTCCTTTTTGAAGGCTGGGAGACAGAGGGGGAATAAAATGCAACCTAATCTTGCCTGAGTGATGGTTTTGGGGACAGTGTACAGGATGATGGATGCTTGAAGATCTGTTGACGATTGTTTAATTGAATCTGCCCGTTATGGCACCCAAAGTGGGCAGCAGGCATTAGCCCTCTAGCAAAAAACTCCAGTGATTCCCAGACTGAAATGATCATTAGAAACATCTGGTGGATATAGTTTTTACATAGTTGTCTGAGCTTCTTCCCAAATTCTGATTCAGTGGCCTAGTTCCAGGAATCTGTTTTTGCCCACATTTCCCAGGTGGTTCTGATGATCAGCCAGTTTGGGAACCACATTTAACTAACGCATCCAAGTGAAGCATTAATCCACCCCAGTGTTTGGGACAGTGGAGCTGACCAAGCAAACTTCTGAGTTCCCAGATCCAGAGCTGAAGTCTCCGGAATTGGTCATAGAAGACTTTAGTTTTTGGTTCCCTACTTTTCCCTTGCCAGGCAGGCAGTATAGAGTTAGCCATAAATCAGAACTCTGACTCCGTAGAGTGACATACGTCCTCAGTCCTTCATACAGTATCCACTTTGGAGTAGAAGGTCTCCAAGACAGGTAGAAGTTCCAGTAGATTAAAATCTATGCAAGGGCACCTTGCTTCAGAGAAACTCTGTCACAGCAAACAACTCCATCTATCAAAATGTTCCTCTGGGGTCTGAGTAGATATTTCTCCAAAGATAAACAAATGACCAATAAGCACAGGAAAAAACATTCACTGTCATTAGCCAAGAGGGAAATGCACGTCAAAGCCACCATGAGATAGCACTTCACAATAAAAATAATAAAATGTGTTGGTGAGGTTGTGAAGAAATTGGAACCTTCCTACACTGCCAGTGGGCATGTAAAATGGTGCAGATGCTTTGGAAAACAGTTTGGCAGTTCCTCAGATGTTAAACATAAAGTTACCCTATGACCCAATGATTCCACTCCTAGGTACATCCCAAGAGAAATGAAAACAAAGGTCCACCCATAAACTGGTACATAAATATTCACAGTAGCATTTTTTTAAAAGACTTTATTTATTTATTTGACAGAGAGAGACACAGCGAGAGAGGGAACACAAGCAGGGGGAGTGGGAGAGGGA